CATCTGTCCAGCCAAGATGTTTTCTGCCTTTGTCCCAAAAGATTCAACTTTTGATTTGCTTTTTTATTCTTCTACCTTGTCCTTTGCTGGCATGTTTGAGATATTGAACTCATGTCTGAAAAATAATTTTCTGCCTCTGTGATGGAAAATAAGAACAAGTTCTTAAGGCTGTTTCTTAATGACTGGTTTTCTTCAATTTGTTCACCCCATGAATTTCCACTTTTTCAATGTCCTGACACCAAAATCAAAGGTGTTTCCACTTCCATTTTCAGCTTCATTCTGCCATTCACAGTTGTGCAAAAAGGACTCTTTCAATATCTAGTAGTTCTTTTAAGTTTTCCTGGAAAATTTTTTTCAGCTTCTAATATCTCCGAAATTACTGTACAAAATGATATTCAAATGCCAGTATCATGTGAGTCATGCTGGCATGCTCTAAAACTAGTGCTTCTTTTTTGTCTCGGCCTCCTTTTTAGTCTGTAGGGGCTTCTTTGGATCATTTCTGCAAGTCAGAAATTATACATTGCTGGTCAGAGAGACTGGGATATTCTGAAACCTCACATGATCTGCTGCCTAAATAGCTGCAGGCAGAATTTTTTCCTCTTTCCATGGGTATTTGGCACAGACTTCACAAACTCTGCATCACTGCTTAGTTGTAGAAATGTATGAGGGAGTGGAAAACTGGCCTTCAATTGTTCAAAAGGTAATGCTTTCATTTCTTAAAAATAACATAGTTTTCTTGAGTTTCCTTACTCATTAGGACCAATTATAGAAAACATCAGAGACACCCCCTTGGCACAGCTCTGCTTTTCTGCCTCCTTATAGGGAAGGAAATGAATAATAATCACTATGAAGTGGAGAATCAGACATACAGAGCATTCTGAACCTACAGAGTCACAGAGCTGGAGGAGTGAACAACTCTCAAACCAATTGAAATCAGATTACTCAGACATTATTCCATTGCATAGCAAAGTGAGCATGGTTGTAAATCTTAACTATTTCTCCTGAAGAATAATGAAGATAGTCCTATCCTTTGTGAAAATTCTTCTAAACAAAGAAAATATTCAGGCAGGAATAAGTGGAAGATTGCTGCCTATGACTAAATTAATAAAGAAAACAACCAACGTAGAATGAATTTCCATGAGAATTTCAAAATTGCTCATTTTTTTCATGACTTGTAGTTTACTATTCTACTACCCTGGTGAACACCAAGTCAATTTCAGGAAAGACACTACTGCTGTGTATAGAGAAAATACTCCAAAGAACTTTCCATGTTCTATAAAATGGACTCTGAGCTTTCTTCTACTGCATTATTAGAATACGCAGATGATCCCTTAGATTATCATCCATCACCTTCCATATTTGCAGTGATAAATGCCATAGAACTCCAAAGTGCAGATTCTGGATGAAGCTACAAAATATCCAGTCCAACAGGGCTTATTTGTATGATGAAACCTGTAAAATTATGTTGACAAGACCAAACAAAAGTTTGTCTCCAGTTTATGAGAATCAATGGGTTCTCAAGGAAACAATGCATTGTGTCTAATCAACATGTATCTACAAACTCAGTAGTAATAGCTCTGAGAATTTTAATAGAGCTGCAGTTTTGTCTCTTCACATTGAAGAATGTCAGAAGAAAAATTACTGATGCCAGCCAGAAGAACTTATTTTTTCATCCTGAATTCAATCTTTGTGGTTTAGGAACGTGTTCCTGCCAAAGGAAGACCAAAGGACTGTGCTCATGCTGTTTCTAATTCAGGCAAATGCACTCCAAAATCAGATTAGCTGTTCTAGAAATTTGACATCTCTCTGTTCTGATTCCTTGTCACCTTTTCAGAATCACCTTGGAAAATACAAATTTCTCATCTTCAAGGCATCATTCAAATTCCACTTGCTAATAATTATTATTCCTCATCCGCAAAGAACAAAAAAGGAGCAGGAGACTTTGTTCTAGAGTGAAACTTGGCAAATTTGAAGCCTATTTCTTGGAAAGCCAATTACTTTTTCAAAGGTCAATCAGGAAATTGCCCGAATCCTTTTTTTTTCTTGCAACCTTAAAGCGCATCATTGGTACTTACATTCCTGAAATTTGAAGGCAACAACCTCTTCTGAGCGTTTTGGTCTTTCCTTCATTACATGAGATTTTAGAATTCCAGAATTTAATTGCTATTTGCTACTTTGATTCATTTATACTTTGTCTTAGGTCACATTATATTTAGATAAGATAATGAGAAAATGAATATATGAAGACAACTGGACGGGTTCTATAAGAAAGATAATTTAAATTGAATGCCACAGTAGGTTCTTAGGTGAAAGTCCTAGGATTCATTTTTAGCTTTGACAGAATACTTTTCTGTGTACTGTGAAGTTCAAAAATAGGATCCAGATGAGCAGAGATATTATAAGGTGCAACTTTCACCTGGACGTCTCCATAATGCTCAAGCAAGAAAACATTTACCTATTAAACTGACAGTACTTGTTCTTTTCATCTTTGACCAAGATGACTACAACTATTGGGAATCAGAAACCATAATCTTGACTATGTCTTAGTGAAAGAGACTTTATGTGGTGTTTTCCTGGGCAATGAGAAATCCTTCTTATAGTTCAGCCTCTGACTGAAAAGCCAAGTCTTCCTTTTTCACAGTTCTACTAGGACTTGAGAAAAGATATCAGAGATTTTTCTGAAATCCTCCAAATCTGTCAGCTTTCTTCTCTTTCTTCTCATTCTTATCTGTATTGGAGTGATGGCATGATGGGTACTCATACAGGAGAAGGTTAAAATTAGATTTCCTGAAATTAATTTTATATTCTCTGAAAGGGTACCCACTACTCTGCCAGTACCCATTTTTTAAGCCAAAATTTCTCCAAGCACAGAAAAGTCTTTTCATAATGTGGAAATTCTAAATGGATGAAAAGAGAAAGGAAAATTATCAAAGGGATTCAAGTTGATGACTGATTCATTGCTTTTAAATAATTTTTCCTTCCTGGATATTGGTTCTGTTGTTTTCTAACTTGTTTTTTAGTTATCTTATATTCCCTCAGCTATGGCAGTATTCCTGGAGCCAAATGTGAGTGCACTTCCTCAAAATGCCAGCAGTGGAAGCTGGTAAGCAAGTGGGGAAAAATCATCAGAGGAATCTCTGAAGCTTGGGACAAAGGCAGAAAACACATCAGTACTGCACTAACAGAACAACAGGTACTCTTATAGAGAAGGTAAAATTACAGGTAAGGAAATTAAATTTCTATTTTGAACTTGTCCAAATGGCTTGTTACTCTCCATTCAAAATACCAGGAAAAACACTACAGCATAAAATGTGAAGATCTCAAATTTGATTAACTTAGACTACCTGATTTTTTTAGTGGAGATAATTGGAAGTTCAGTCTGACCCCATTTAGGGAAAAATATATTAAAAGACAAAAATCCTTTATGCCTATTAGACAGTTTAGAACCTCAGTCTAGTTTTAAAACAAGGTTGGATTTGGGTTTTATAAATTTGTTTTGCTTTTTTGTATTTAGAATGCAAACACAGGAAAATGCTTGTTATAGGTTTCCTTTTCCAAAAAAACAAACAAAAAAAAAAACCAAGTGTAGCCTTTTCTGTAGGTAAGTGAAGTCAGATAAATCCAAAGACAGAAGGACTCTGTGTCCATCTCTCCATTTCCACTTACTTCCTGATAGGGTAACATGACTCTTTATTATGCTTCAGTTTCCTCATATATTAAAAGAAAAGAGTTTGGTTTTATCTCCCATTTGGGATGATTAGGCAGGATAAGTGGTGTAGAAGAGAAAAAATTACATTTATGTAATTAATTGTCTTGCAGTCTTTTATGCCACCATGCTGCAGTCCCACTATGGAGTTGTGAGCACCATAAAAACCTCAAGAGGATATATCCTTGTCTGAAATGCTGAAGTTGTTATCTGTTACAGAAAGTAAAATAAGGTTTTTGTTTAAGTCTTCTTTTAATTTAAAATTTTTGTCTGTAAATGAAACATTGTGTTACATTAAAATAATTCTACCATAAAGTCTGTTCTCTACTGAGTTACAGAAACATTGAGAAAATTGGGGTATGTTCAATACAGTGGCATAACCTTTTGGAAGACAGAAATAATGACTACATAGGAAGGACTAATGAATTGGATTTAGCCTTGATGTAACTCATAGATCTTCATCAGCTATTCACTATCATAATTATCCCAGTGAGTTGTACCAGTTAATTTTGTTTTGTAAACTATCCATTTCAAGGAAGTATGAACACGGGACCATATTAATTGGCTTCATAGTATTCAAATATGTAGAGATTTTATTTAAGCAAAAAATTTTTGAAGTTTTGAGTTTAATCTTGTATATTTTCAATGATCTGCAGCATGATATTTAAGTTAAAAGGGTTAAGAAAATAAAAGAAAGACACAAAGAAATTTTGGTGGTCTTTTGAGATGCTGTGTATCACTTCAGAAGCAATCATTGGCAGGTTCAAAATCTATCTCAAATATCTAGATAAAGAACTGTCTGTCTGAATTGAATATTGTCTTTTGAAATGTGTAATGTGTCCTTTGTCATTTTAAAGTGTTTCCTGTAACCTTCTAATTTTTTTTTTTTTTTTTACTTTAAACATATATGAGGAGAACACATTCAAATTTTCATTTTGAAGGAATTTCTTCTGACTTCATGACTCCTTTCTGTACCACAGGTCTATGTATGAACTTATTCTCAAAGAACTTTTCAATTACTGCTTTGACATACTTAAGTTTTGCTGATATACTTTCAGAAATGAGTGTAATCTATAAGTTTCTATAGGTTTTTTTTTTGTTTGAATTTGAGTATGTTTGGGTATTTTAAAGACCATGCGCTTTTCCTAAGAGAATTTTCTCTGATTCTGAAATGTTTTAACCTGTCATTTTGTATTTTTCCTTGTAAGTTTAAAAAATATTCCAACTATCCCAGTTTTGTTTTCTGTAACTAGTTTCGTAACAGTTTAGTACTTGACATGTGTTTGTTTCTTAGGCAAACGTGTAAAACTCCTCAAGTCCGCATGGAGAAGTAGAGAAAGGAGGTTTCTGCTGTGCCTGATGACAATTTTTCTTTTTTCCACACACAAAAAATATTCTGGCTCCACGTTGGAGCACTAGTTGTGATGAATCCTAGTCTTGGTCGAATTCTAAGGAAGGGCCAGAACGTTCGTTGAGGAATAAAGAGTCAAACTACTCCAGAAAATGTGTTCCAGCCCCGCTTTATTGCTCACAGAGCAGCAGGTGTGTACAAATACAGGTTTACATGGTATTAACAGGAATTGTTTTACCTTACTCCTGATTGCAGTTGCTTAGTTTACTGTGGACATTAAAGACTTGTGGCTCATTTGGGCAGAGTTTCTGGAGGGTGGTTGGAGAGATTCTGATTGTGCTACTAAGCAGCCTCAGAGTGTAACTTAGGTGCTTCTGGGAGCCCTAAAATATCTTCACACTCTTGACTTTCAAAGATAGACCCAGTTGGTAAGCTTAAGTTACTCACTCAGGGGAAAACAGCAGATGCCCTGGAGAACAGCACTTGGAAGAGAAGCCCGTCTTAATACATCCAGTCTGGTGTGGCATCTGTAGTTGAAAGCTCAGTATCACATACTGAATTACTTAAATTTCATTAAAAAACTAAGAATTGGGTATTTCCATTATATTCCTAAGACAGGCTAGAAATTGTTTATCTATCTTAAAACTGTGTTAAAAATGAAGACCTTTATCATTTACAGGAACACATGCCATGCTCTGAGGTACTTTTCCATGACCTACTTTACTAGTCCTACCTTTCAGAGCATTTGAAGTAAGTGGAAAGATCACTTTACATGGGAAAGATTTCCAATGACTTTTAGTTTAAATTAAAATTTTTAACATTGACTGTCTAGATCTTCACTTTACCCCCAAAAATTTCCTGCTGAAATCCTTAAGAGCAGTAGGAAATAAAAGAGTACAGTTATATTTCAAATGGCATTGCATGAAATGAGTTTTCAGAATGTTTGCCTATCTATAATGCAAGTCCTAAGCACAGGAACTATCAAAAGTGCAGTTCTGATTAGTCACATGCAATAAAAATATGAAAGAATTATAAGGTTTTAGAATCTCATGGTTATCAAAGAACTGGGAGCCTTTTGAGTCATGTCCTGGGAAATACTCTTTTTAATTAATAAAATGAGCTAGCTCCTGAAGGACAAGCGTGAGGATCTAGAATTCTAAATTGCTTAACAGGCTTGAGAGCATGTTTAAATTAATACTTTTCGTACTGCAGTGCCTAAAATAAAACTAAAGGAACAATTTGCAGCTCTTGAGCCCTTAAATAAAAAGTTAGGTAAGATCAAAATTTTATAAACAGGAACGAAATTCCTTGGTGACTTGAAAAAGTGTCTTTCAATACATAACCTTCTCTGAAGGTAATTGAATCCATGTAGTTATCATTAAATATCTGGTTTCTAGACTGCTCCAAAGTGACTCAAATTTTGCCTTTTGTCATTAGCCCAGTCAAAGAGCTGTCTGTAATACTAAAATAAGGTCCTGTGTCCTCATTAATGGTTGCAGTTCCCTTGAAATGTGCTTGAGTCGCCTTCATTTCTCAGGCTTTTGAAATGGTTCCTCCTGCCTCTAGAAACCCAGTTATCTAGCAATAAAAACCCAAATCCACATCTACCTACTGTAAAGGGTCTATACATATACGAGCCCTATTCCAGAAAGGTCCTTTACATCTTTTTGTCCACTTTCCCCTATTCATTGGAACATAAATTACATGATTATCCATCTGTAAGGAAACCTGTCTTTGTTAACACTTGTGAAGTACTTTGGATTATTCCTGCAAGATAGTAGTACTAGAACAGAAGCATTTTCCAAGCTTACAAGTGAAAGTGTTTCAGTGAATGAACATGTACAAGTGGCAATGCAAGCTGTCATTTGCTTTCACAAGCGATGTATGAATGATAGTGCATGGCAAAAGCTCTGTATGGATTTTAAAGTTCCAGGAAATATTGTGCTTCCATCTGTTCAAAAGATCCATTTCCAACCTCAACCTCATTCTCAGAGGGCATGAGAAGAGAAAATGCGCTGGCAGATGTTTTTTTCTGGTTAGATGGGTCCTTCTGTTTCTATACTGTAGTATTTATATTAAGTTCTTACTACTACAACAAAATTATTTACGTTATAGAGAAAAAAAGACTGATATACCCCTCCTGTGTTCATTCCTTTTTAGAAAAGGTTTAAAGAATCACTTTGCTCATAATTTTATTAATTTTTTGTGGTGGTTTGCATACAGTATAATAAAGGATACCACAATAACAATGCAAAATGGACAGGAATATACTGCATATAAACAAGGGCCGTTTTGGTATGGGATCTCTGTCTTTTCTCCAGGACTTGGAGGACAATCCATTGTAGGTATTTCTTCAAGCCATTCCTTATGGCTTTTGTAATTTCCTGTATTTAGCATATCTCGGTTATTAAATTTGTGAGATCCCTTTTGTTTTTGCTTGAAATCCCCATACCACTTTTGTTTCCCATAAGCTTTTAATATTTTAGAGAAAAATGGAATGGGCGCTAAGGCAACTTTGTCTCATGAAATTACACTTAGCTCAGGGTGAGCTATTAATTGCTTTTACAAAACAATAATTTCCTTTCTGTGTCTTACCTATCTCAAGAAAAAAAGAAAAGGAAAGAAAAGAAAAAGACAGCCTGAGTATGCTTAGATGACATGACCTATGATCACACACAATCCTATTTGGTCGATGGAACAGTTCTAATTAAAAAGAAAAAATCCTCTATTTAAGTACTTACTGTTTATTTGGGGAAAACCCAGAACAGAAGGTCCATAGATTCCATGTGGAATCATCTGTCAAGGCAAGAAACATTGGCTTAAAAATTTTACCTTTTTTGCATTTGCATTGATACCTAGTCCTGTCTTCTCTTCAACTCTCCTCACACACTAAAGTCTCTTATTTACTGTGCATGATGGAAAAGAGAGAGAATTAAATTGGAAGTGAACATATAAAAAGGCAAGTTGCTAACTTTCAAGTGCTTGACTTTCCAAACTTTAGAGTCAGTTTTCATTATGGATTTTGTGTATGGTTTATGATGAACACAGAAAAAAATTCAAAAAGCTGCCAGTCAAAAGATAGTAATGTACAAGTTGTGTAATGAAACTTTCCAGCACACATTTAATTTCAATATACCATATATTGTTATCTATTTTATTCTAACATTATTATATAATAATTAATTATGTGCCCAATTTTGGATGTAGAAGAAGGATGCAGAACATATTGTGTAATTAGCTATTGATTTGTGATATATTTGTTTCTCTGAAGAAACAGAAGACTTCTACTATACCTAATTGGGGTTGTGTCAGTTTGATGCTGAGGTGCCTGAATTTAGGGAGAAGTGCTTTATTATTCAGGGAATATGCTCTCAACCATTCTTTACATCCTATAGTCTTGATTTTTCTTCCTTCCTCTTCTAAGGCAGAAGAAAGTCCTGAGTAAAAGTATCAGACTTAGTTTTTATTGAAAATCTATTTTAATGAAATAAACAATACTACCTGCTGTATTCATCCACAGTGTGGATTTCACAAATGAGGATATTTTTCACCCATTGCGGTTGTCCAGAAATATCTCTTAAGGCTGGTAGCTTTTATAATGTGATGTCATGAGATCTTTTCATCTCTGATCCATTCTGCATTATCCTGGCAAAAAGGTTTTACCCAAAGACTTAGTTTGTTCTGAACATTTAGTGAGCAGAATAAAGTGGAAATCTTCACATGAATTTAGTTATATACTGTTGTGTTAAAATAAAACAAGTGAGTCCACATACAATTACAGCCAATTTACAGCCACCACGCACTAATTTAAATTAAAAAGTCTGCAACTGCAAGGTAATTATGCTTTAATTGCATATTTAGGACAAGAAAATGAAGAGAATCAAATGCGGTGTATTTATGATATAACAATGGTGTGAGAAAACTTATTAGTATAAAGAGAGTAATTGCATTCCAAGAATGAATAAATTAATTAAAATCAACACTTAGGATGCTAAAGATTTCATGTACTTTTTAAATTTGTATTGTTAATTTTCCATATGTATCAATTATTAACTGAAAGCTTGATTTGCACGCTTCAGGGTGTTACTGTTTTCTAAGGATTTTAAAGATTAGACACATATTGTTATTGGTCCCTCTTTTCCTATGAAGGCCTTTGGCGCAATACCTTAATACCTTACTTCCCAGAAACTTGAATAAAATAGCATTTACTATATCCAAAATTAAGCATTTCTGGGATTACCAAAAATTTCATTGCTTCTGTATGAAACTACCTTTAATAGGTATTAACTAAAATTTCATTGCTTCTGTATGAAACTACCTTTAATAACCAAGAGGTTTGTTCACTCCCTGATGTGCGTGGTGTATGAATATATAGCTGACATTAATGTTGATGTGCAATCTATGCTTGAACATAAGAAGTATTAACATCATACATAGAGGTAAATCTAATATATATACATATATACATATATACATATATACATATATACATATATACATATATACATATATACATATATACATATATGTGTGTGTGTGTGTGTGTATGTGTGTATGTATGTAGGTGAGTGACCTGACATAGAGCAGAAATCTGAATGGCTGTCTGCTTTTTTTTTTTTTTTCTTATTTTTATCACCTATCTAATTCACAGGATAGTGTATGTTGGTTTTGTGGGGATATTTTCACCAGGGTTATAGTGCTAGGTGGGGCGAGAAGATAAGCCTGCAGATTATGATTTTACTGATTTTCTTGTGACTGAAAATACATTTGCACTTCCAAACGACCATGTAACTGAACAGTCACGTATGTGCAAAAATACCATTTTTGTTATCTGAAGTTTATCACCTTAGCCCACACATAGATCTGGGTGTAATAGAAATAATACATCACAGGATAGTTGATGTTGGAAGGCAGCTCTGGAAGTGCCACCCCCCTGGCTCAAGCAGAGACATCTAAAACCAGTAAGGACAAGACAGCTTTTGAATATCTTCAAGAATGGAGCCCACAATCTCCCTGGGCAATATGTGCTAGTGCTCAGTCACCCTCACAGTAAAAAACCTTTTCCTGAGAGGGAACTGCCTGTGTTTGCTTGTTTTCAGTTTCTTGTCCTGCTGCTGGGCACCACTCAAAAAGTGTCTGGCTCCATTTTCTTGCCACCCTTTTTTCACATATTTGTACACATTGATGTATTTCCCCCTGAGCCTTCTCTTTTCCCAGGCTGAACAGTTCCAGTGCTCTCAGCCTTTCCTCATATGAGATGCTCCTCTGTCTTATTTGCCTTAGTGGCTCTTTACTGGATAGACAGATAGGAAGACATAGATATAGACATAGATATAGATATAGAGACGTATCACAAATGAAGCCAATAAAATTCCACCTGCAGATAGTATCAGGAGACGTGTATTTTACATTGTGTAGCTCAGTGGCACATGGTTCCATGAGTAGAATTCCAGATTGCTACAATAAAGCAAAAAATTAAATAACAATAAGATGGTGCATCAGCCTTTTGAGCTTTGGTGCAGGACACAGAAATATGTTGCCTGACTGTTAAATTAACTCTTTATTATTTTTTCGGGCAATCTTTCACTTTAGAAGGGACCACATGAGGCTGTTTCCAACAGCAAGACCAAAGCAAAATAAAAGCAGTGTAATAAATAAGCCTGTGTATCATAAAAATCACAAAGCACAATTTTATTATTGCCTCCAGTGCAGTTCCTAGAAACAACTCTGTGGAGAAGGCAAACCGAAGTAATGAACTCCTTGAACAGTCTGTTTAATATTCTGTTTGTTCTACGTTTATGCTCTGCAGAGCCGACAAGAGCTGTATGCAAACAGTTTTGCTGAGGGCAAAAGAATGTTTCATCATTAAGGAGCATGACCCTTCTCTCTGTGATCAAAATGAAAAGCATATGCCCCTTGATGTCATAAAGTGTTGTGACCATTCCAATGAGTTGTTCCTCAAGCCTTGGGATGTTTGCCCCTGACACAGTTTGATATTAAAAGATTACATGATGATTAATTGTATCCACTGACACAGCAGAAATATTCCTCAAAGTTGTGTTTCTTTGATATGACAAATTTTTTCTTTTAAAATTTAAAATCCAAATCAGTTAGAGGGAAAGTCCAATTATTGTGAAATGCTTTGTCCCCCCCTCTTTCTCTGTGGTCTTCTGTTTCCTTCTTGTTTCATGTTAGGCTGGGTGGAACCACTCTAAATTAAATACCTGGTAATTTTTTACTTTGTGAACAACAGGATCTCTATCACTAGTTAACTTTTGCATGAGTTTTGTCCTGTTTCTCCATTAAGTGATTATTGCTTGCTGAGATACATTAAGCCTTTAAAAGGACATTGCCTTTTCCAACCTGAATGATTCTATGATGTTATGATTGTTTTTTAGAGATGCATGCAAAGAATGGAAGAATATAGCTCCAGTATCAGTCACTGTATACTCAATAGCTAACATTTAAAAAGCATAGTCGTAACCATACAGAATTTTTAACAACAACAAAAAAATAATAACAGAAAACAGAAATTTGTGGGTTGGCAATTCATGGTTTTATTATATTTTTAATCATGGTCACATTTCAATTTCTCCTTGTCAAATCCTATTCTCACTAAACACTTAAAAACACAATTTATGTTGGGGAGGAATGCCATTTAATATCATCGGGGTTTATTCCCTTATTTAAAAACAATCCAAAAATGTTTGCTGGACAGAGATCTTACACTTCAGTCTCAGTTTCCAGTACTTCGGAAGCAGATTCACTATACCCAATTTTTGATTTTCTCATTTTCTTTTTCTTTACAGGTAACCCGATAGCTAAAGACAAATCAAGCCAGTCTCAAGGCTGATAACATTAAATACAACACATAGGAATTTCATTCCTCCAGGCAATCCTTGAAGTGAAATTTTATACTGCTGGGGTGTATCCTTCAGAATCAATTGTTTCAATGAGAACCTGGCTTGCAATCAGCAACAGCCTTGAGATCAAAACTACTGGAAAGTTATTTTGAACTTCTGTGTCACAAATATTTCAACTGATTGAACTGTGTACACTTGTAAAATTGCACTTGCTAAGGAATTTGCAGCTGTAATCATGAGCTAATATTCTAAAGGTGCAGAAAAGCAGCAAACTTTTGGGTTCTCCATTGCAAATCAGTGGCTTTTCATCTTGAAGTCAAACTCTGAAATGTATTGGATCCTTCACTCTAAAATGATCCTTGGTCCGCTGTTCAGATTGCTGGTGGGACTGCACACTGCTTTAATTAAATTTCTGTTGCAGAAATTGTCCTCGAGCATGGCGCAGTTTTAGACATTTTTATTTGTGTTCTAATCTTGCAGCTCTCAAAGGTACATATTTCAACATCTTGAAGTTGCTTTGTTATAGGAATGGAATTATATATCCATTGTTAATAATTATTGTTGACAAGTAATAGTTATCTGAATACATCAGTCATATTAAAATGTATAGTCAGGTTGACATGTTTCCCTAAGGCTAACCAACTACTGCAGCTTAACAGTTAAAGAAAGTAGTGGTCAAAACTCAATTACTACTTCCATCATAAGGCATTTTATATCTTTAATATATATATTTCCATTTAGTTTGAGGGAAATGGGTGTTCCCAATATGTACTTTACTTTCCTAACCTTTAACTCATTTAAATTCATGGTAAGCAGTCAATTCCACTATTTCATCCCTTTTATACAAAAGTAGGCAGGGATGTAAATGAGTTTTGCAGTTATGATATTGGATGGTAATCATTCAGAATTTTTGTCTTTTTATTAAAAAAAAAAATCTCTTGCTTGAACTTAAATACTGATGGATGCTTATGTAGATGTCTGCTCAGTCTGTTTGACATAAAGGAAAGAAGTCCTAGTACTCTCCCAGTTTTACACTTCATGGGTATTTTGCTTGAGTACAGTCATCCAATTCAGATCTGTTTTGTTTTGTTAGAAATTTTTGAACTTTTCAGTGTGTTGTTACATGAAAAAATTCCTCAATATTTGAAGGCCTTAAGCATCTTTGAGCTTTTTCTAAGTTATTACAGAATGTATAATTTTATACTCCATTTAATGTATATTGGACCATCTGTAATGTTGATACAAAAGAAATTTGGCAATTCCTTTTAGTGACACTGCATAAACACACTGGCTAGAGGGAGTTCTGACTGTATGCTTTGGTGAATTGAAATGAAAGCCACACACACTTAATGGTAGTCAAAAATACATAGAGATAAGCTTGTTTAAGTTCTGTGTGGTTACCAAACACAGCAAAAACCCCCAAAAATAGAAAAAAAAGAGAAAAAAAGGAATAGAAAGAAATGGTTTAATCATTGCAAGCCATTGACATGGCTAGTTTAGTTATATATTAAGTTCTGTGATGGATGAACACCCTGGCAAGCTCTGCCTGTCACTGTAGCCCCTGCTGTTCCAAAACCATTTCATTACCTCTGCTGTATTGTTGCACAGGAGAGCTTAAATAAAATAAATGACTGTTGGGAATAAAACTGAGAAGTATATTCTATCATTTTGCTGTGAAAAAATAAGAAATACATTGACAGAAAAAGATCTTATTTTCTGATTAAAATTTAATTAGAATAAACCGTTCATAGCAGAAACGAAGTCTCTTGGTATTTTAGGATGGGTTAGTATTATATGGATTTGTGCTAAGAGGTTCAGGGTGGAAGGTAGCATCTTAAAGAGGTTGTCTGGGACAGTGCAAAGCGTAAATGTGCTGTTTTGTAAAATTTAAATATGACCTCTATTGGTCGAAAATCTACATCATGCTTCTCAATACTTGTTTTCTTTGTTTCCTTGTTCTTAAACAGAGCTGAAAATAATGTATTATACAAGTGTAACACATGCATACCAATAAATGAAAATAAATGGATTTTCAAATATACTGAATAGATTCTCTGCAGTAGATTAATGTTGTGACTATTCATAGCAAGTGAATAAAAAAAATAGAGTTCCCTGTACGGATGTGTGCATTGGAGATCTGTTTACTCATGGAACAAAATAATTTTTTGGTGAATAAGAATCTCAAAGGTTTTATTAACTTTATATTTCCTACCACTTTGGAATGTCTTTTTTGAAAGGAACTGATACCTATGGGAAATTCTGGTGGGTGTACTGTTGTTTTCAGCTCAGATTAAATAATTTTTTTTTTTCTTCACAAAATGTGAATCCTGAAAAATTGTCATTTAGATGTTTTAAGTAGCAACAAGGCGTGGTAGACAATCCTGAAAAAGTAATGTTTCAGGTTAATTTGTGGAAATGTTTAAAAGAAAATTAAAAAGAAAGCCAGTTACTCAGACCTGCTTGTACACCTTGAAGTAAGCTGGGAACCACAGTTCAAGTGTCCATAGTGCAGGTTTAATGCTCCTTTAAAGGTGGAGTACAGGTGACAGGATCAGCTATGTGCATTCATGTTAGAATGTGGATTACTTCAATTAATCATTTAATCATGTATATACTCTTTTGTAGATTGTTCAATCTGATTGCAAAAATGATCAGGCATTAGGATCAGAGGGAAATCCATGTTACTCTTTGAGTTAAGTAATCATCAAGAATGCTTAATTGCAGAACATGAAGTTCTGCAGTTCCAAGTGGCAGTGCGTTGAGAGAGGAAGAAAAATCACTGCTTTGTGATACCTCTCACAGTTAGATGTATTGGATCAGTTCATCAAAGCACAAAAGGAAATCCTGATATGAATCTTAATGAAAAAAAAAATCATATTGGATCAAATCTAAAATAAAGCTTAAAAAAACATTCAAATCTAGATCTTGGTTGTATGTGGTTTATTTGTCATAAAGAATGTCAACCTTTAAAACAGCACTGCTGCAGATAACACTGTTACTACCTATAAATACACCTATTGTGCTATATTTTGAAGTCTTGTATTTATCCTGTATCTTTTAAATCCTGACTCCTTCAGCTCTGCCTAAAAATGTTATTGGTGTAGTATTTCAGTACTTAACCAAACCAATGCAGCTCTGTTTTGTTAAGAATCTATATGCTTTAAGAGTGCATCAGATGCAATTATTGTGAAAGTAAAGAATCTGATATAAAATATTTTAATTTGTTAATTTTCATAAAAATATATGCAGGGATTTTTTTGCCCGTTATAATTGTACAGCTGGCTTTTATAATTTCTATGTAATGCATGAAAGTCTGTAACAACAAAACAGAAATATGTGATTGGCATCCTTTTCTGTTGATTTACTGCCTCCTCCTTCATGCCTCAAATTTTACACATCTGTTGTTAACCAGTCTATTGGCAAAGAAAAGGAGCACAGTTTTGATTTGCAAGAAAACTGTTGCCCTAATTTCTATGTTTTTTTGCCAAAAGTTAGATAGCTCTGGATCAAACCTGTCACACCTGAACAATCTGATGTAATTAAATGATTTCTCATGGATTCAGTGCTCTTAAATTGAAAAATAAGAATTTCCTAATCACTTTGTCTTTATAACACAGTTTGTATCCTGAAAAATGTTTCTGTTTATTCTGTCACAGAATGAGTGAATATTTCCAGATTACATCTTTGGTCTTGTTTCTGTGAGAGCTTATTTAACTTTTGGACACTACTTCATAGACAGTCATTGCAAATATTTTAGCAAAAATATGGCTGGGTTTTTTGTATGTTCTGTATCCATCTGTACTACAGAAGAGGTAGTACATGAAAAGGTTGAATTTACCACAACTTTGTTTTAACAGGTGAGATTACAAGTGTTGTCAATGTCTCATTATCCAAAACTAATTTAAGACAATCTGGCAGGAGGGCCACTGATGGTGACACTGGAAACTCTTGTGTCAGGGAGTGACAGTTCTTTATCAGAGTGCTGTGAATAGGATGCCAGGAGAGTCAACAACTCAAATATGGTTTCATCACCAGAGATGTAGGGTCTGGGGAAGTGGATCGAGCACGTGAGCACAGTCAGCACTCTGAACCTGTGGCTGTGGTGGGGACAGGAGGACCTTAGACCTGTTCTCTGGGTTGTAGGAAAGGTCTGACTCGTGTCTCTGGGGTTTTCTCCACAGCCAGATGACAGAAATGGCAAGACACTGGGTGATTTCAGTGTGGTTTGTATAAAGCAGTCAGATGTAGATGATGTTTAGCATTTGGTTTAGAAAATTCTGATTGAGCAAATTCATTAAGATTCCGATATCTCTCTCCATTCAGGTTAATAGTTAAAGAAACTACTCTCTATTTTCACTCTTTCCTTGCAAGTATACAGGTCAGCTTGTGTAGCAGTTGGAAGTGAATTCCAGTTATTCCTTGATAATAGATTCTCTTGATTAAATGTCACTAATCACATTAATATTAGCTGTGACTGAAAGAGCTTAAATAAATCTTTCAGTTCTGAAAACCAGTGTATTGCCATCTAAATAAAATAATTTGTGTAATAGAGATATTATTGCTTATATGTAACCCTAACAGTAAAACTTCTATATCAGCTCTTCAAATTATATTTCTGTTCATAACTTTAAAATGTAAAATTTGGTATAGGTCCTCTATAACAGCAGGAACATTCTTTTTTTTCTGCTTAAACACTGAGGTAACTTAAGGACATTGGAGTTTGGGATTTATGCCTTTCACTGTTTCAACTGCACAGCTGGGAAAACAACATGTAAAAATACTTACATTCCTCACATTGCTGAGACATTTTTCTTGAATATGAGGAATATGTAGAGTTGCAAGTTAACTCCATATGAGCATATTGGTTGAATCTCTTGAACCTTTTTCTTCTTACTGCCATAACAAACATGACAGAAACTGTACTTGAATCTCCAGCCTTAACTCTCTTTCCTCCTTATGATTAATTACTGATGCCTTGTCATATTTGAGCACAGAGAATATAATCCCT